CCTTCTTGATCAGTAATAACATCAGCATTGGCAATAGCATCAGCATCGACAATAGCTGCATCAAGTGCAACTGTATCAATAAGTAATTTTCGATCAATATTTTGTTCTTCATTCTCAACATTAAGATTTTCATCTTCTTCATTTGAACTTTGAGTTTCTTCAGTCGAAAGAGTTGATGATGTATTACCACGTTGTTTTATATCTTGTATATCAATATCATTTTGTCTATCAAGATCACATAATGATTGACCAAGTTTAATTGGATCACCAGGTTTAACATTAAAAACAAGATTGTCAGGTGCTTCAAAAACAAGTACAACAGTAGAACCTATAAAAAAAAAAAAGGAAAACAAAAAATTTATCGAAGAAATAATTCTTGTATTTTAACTTACCAAAATTAAAGTCACCAAAATTATCAGCACGTTTAAGTAAAATTCCATTTGAATTTCGAATTGTTTGAAAGGTTTTTTCTAATCGTGGTCGACGACGAATATTTGTTTTTAATTCCTAAAAATATAAAAAATAAAAAAAAAACAAATTTTTCGATTTTTTTATATTGAATTATTTTCTTACAGGATCAAAATGAACATTAATACTACCAACAATTGTTGCTCCAACAGCTGTCATAGAAAAAAATCCATATTTCCATGAACCATAATAAGCTGCTCTTTCATTTAAACAAAATAAATTTTGAAGCCAACTAGCAACTTTTGGATTTACAGAAAATAAATGACCAATATAATGACGACGCCAACTTATTTGCCTATTAACAAAAAATAGAATAGAATCATAAAGATGTTAATATAACATACCATTCTGTTGGTGAATGAAATCGATGATAATCGCCAGGAGCAAGATAAATAACCTAAATACAATTTTTTTTTCTATGTAATAATCATTCAGTTTTTTTTTTGTTGTGACACAACATTTACATGTGGAATATTATAGTACCGACACTTTCATATCAAAGTAATTTTTTGAGAATGAAATTGCTGGTAGGGATCTACCGTAGTTCCCAATCCAAAATTTATATTAAAAGAGCGAAAGAACTGATCTGTTTTGGGAACGGTATTTCAGTCATAGAACAAACTTTCTTTTGTATCCGGAAATGTCTTTCTCAAAAACAGAACAAAATTTGCTCGGGCAGATCATTTCAAAGAACTGAACTGTGGAAAACGCACAGTGCCTCAGATCAGAAGTAGAACTGCACTTGTAGATCTCTAATTGAGGATAAAAGCACATCTACAAAGAAAGCAAGACTTGGTGGATCCTGCTGAACTTTTATTGATTCTTATATATCTGTCTGTACTTTATTCAAATTTGTATACTCACTAAACCAATCGACAAATCTCACAGGTAAATCTTTCCTATGAAAAAACAATTTTGGAATTCATTTGCCCCATGAATTCTATTTTATCAGATGAATTAAAGTCATGTGTCTGAATAAAACAGAAAGATCTTTTGTTTCCATATTATTAAATTAATGAAAGAAAGAGAAGAGAAAAATTAATTGTATGCATAAGTGTCGATGTGCTAGTATCATGCATGAAAATGTCAGTCAATCATTGTTTTTTTTTAATCGTCATACTTACTGCATAATAAAGTGCATGACCACGATATCTAAGTAAGCTTTCAGCATATGAATGTGCATCATCATAATCATAAGTCGAATTAGATCTCGTTTTATTTTGTTGTTGAAATTTCGTTAAACCAGCCGTTAATGGAACACCAAGAAATGAAGATGCAGTATATGTTATACCTTTAACTTGTTCAATAAGGCCACGAGATACTTTACCACATGTTAAAACACGACCATCACATGGTGATACGATTGGAGATTGTTTATCTATCGGACGTAATTCCATTTTTATTTTACGACGAAAAAATTCTGATATTGTACAATAAGATTTAAGATCTTCATTATACATTTCATGAGGATTACATGAGAATATTTTTATATAAAAATAAAAGATTAGTGGACGAAGCCATACAGGTAAATAAAGACGACTTATCCAACCCATTAAACGTGAGATTAATCTAAGTGGTAACAATTTATAAATTGATATCTAAATTAGAAATTTTTACAAGATCATTTTCATTTCGATTATAATAATTTAGATATTTTTTTTTTTTAATTTTCAATTACTTTTGATGGTGCTTTTGGTTTCTTTAATAAATTTCTTGGTTTTTTAACGAAATGTTTCATTCTTGCTATTCGTTTTGCAGTTGATGATAGACCACGTATTGATTTCGACATTGTGCGTCTAACACCAGTACCTAATTTTTGTCGTACTAATGCTGCACTTCGTTTAACTCGTCGACTAACAAGAAGTGGTGTTAAAATAAACGTCATGACAAGATTAAGTGGATTTGATGCATCATCTTCTTCAATAAGTTCTTCATCAGGACAGAACATTTTTAATTAATTAATAATACAATAAAAGAAACAAGACTACAATAATATCTGAAAGATATAAGAAACTTTTGTTTGTTTTGTTTTGTTTTACTGAGATTCTAGATGTTGAGATACAGAAAAAAAAAAATTAGAAAATCTTCACTTTGATTTAATTCAATGAGTTGAAGTCTTATTTTTTCATAATAGAGACCTATGGAAAATATGATTTTACTTTGTAAATATCATTATTAACTTCCCTAAAGAAATAGAACCGATTATTAAATCATAAAAACAAAAATTTATATGAATCGATCGATAGATAATTTTTAATTCAAGGTCTTCATCTATCGGACACATACACATAGTTTGTTCAGATAAAGGAATAGATGAAATTAACAGAAGTCAAAACAGATTCACGCAAATTAGCTAGTCAAAGTTTGATCTGATATTTTTACTCATAGGGTACGTCTCAACGTGATTAGATTGTTCGGAGAGTTTCTCTTGAGACGTAAGATTTCTTCTCGAGATATTCATTGATCAGGAAACTTTCATGTGTCATAGGCAAAAGTCACAATTACAGGTGTAAGCCGAGCCGCTGCTGAAACCCAAAAAAATATTAAAGATTCTCAGCAGCCGCCGTCGTTGCACAAAAAACATACTAAAATTTTGCATATTTTAGACATTCAGGATCAGTTTTCGTGAATGTTCTTACTAAAAAAAATCTGCTTTTTGTATAAGTATTATTTGGTATAGTAGCCCACAGTATGACATGTGTATCAAAGAGTTCTAGCGTTGTATTTACCATTTGCTGAACCGAAAAGCCTAAGGAACTATTTCAAAAAGTTGAGTTTCTAAATAAAAATTCGAGAAAACGCATTTCACGGTAACGATGATTAAAATCTGTTAGAAATTGAATAATCTGATTTTAGACTAAAATTATATTTCATTTCTTTTTTAACTGACTTGCCCAATTTCATACTAACCACTTCTCTATTAGCATTTTCTACCTTTTTCATTTTAAAATCTCTCGAAAATAAGAAAACAAAGGGTCATGGAAAATCTTGAGTCGACGCCAATCAACTCATCGGCTTACATCTCTAATCAGAACACTAACTCTTTTGATCATTTAATATTCCGAGAAAGGATTATGCTTCTCAAGAGAAACTCTCCGAGCAATCGAATAATCATGCGATGTACTTATGAGCAAAACTTCACGTCAAACTTTGTCTAACCAATTTATGCGAATCTTTTTTTTACATCTGCTAATCTCATCTAGTTCTTTAAATGAATAAACTATACGTGTATCTTATAGATGAAAACTTTGAATTAAAAATTAACAATCGATTAGATTTCTTTACGAAAGTTAATAATGATATTTCAAGATAGTATTTACTTTCTCATATTCATACATATGAAAGCAAAACAAAAATACTTGAAATAAGCTTCTCTATTACTAAATAAATAAATAAATAAATCAACTTGTTTGATTGAACTAAAGTGAAGATATTCCTATTTAACATGAACTAGTTATTTTTGGCGCACTTAACATATAGTAATAGCATAAATGACAAGAAAGAGAGAAAAAAAAAAAAGAAAAGTCGAAAACCAAAAAGATTTTCGTTTGTTCTACAATGCTTTTTAAAAAAAAAAGAAAACAATAAACTAAAGCATATCTACAGATAGATGTGGAAAGACTTTTGCTAATAGATGCTGAAATGTCACAAGAAAAAAAAATGTTTTTTTTTTTAATTTTTTCTTTTTATAACTTTTTGTTCTTCTTTACTTTTACATCACTTCTAATTACCGACATATTAATCATTAATTGTACAATCACATAAATCATGAGAATAATCAATGCAAATATGATTTTTCCAAATAATGTACTATGAAAGATAAATTTACCAAACCAAACCAACGAAGGAATACCAATAGTAACAATCCAAAAAATTTCAATTAAAAGATCAGAATAATTTCGAACAACAGGTACTTCTGGTACACCAAGACCATCAAAATTATCATGTTGAACAAAATGATCATAAATACGATCCTTTATATATAAAAAAAAAAAACAAAAATACAATCAATTCAAGTATGATTTTATACTCAATAATTTTGAGAATATAAAAGATATCTCATTGGTTTTTTTTCGAGTTACCTTTTCTTGAAAAAGTTTATGTATCCATTCACCACATGTTGCATCATCTTCATATGGAATTTGTGATGTAGGAACTCGTCTACATAAGAAAAAAAAAATTATTGTATAAAAATACATAAACCTTCCGGAAGAATAAAAGACTATGGCTTTCTGTTAAGAATCACTTTTATTACTAGCAAAGCTATTAGCGTAATTTCTGCAAGATTATCCCACTTAATCTTCTAGAAATGCAACGAGGAGGTAGTTCATATATTACAAAGAGACATTATTGATATACTGTCTTTGATCGTATATCAACAACATTTGTTATGATCTGTGCGAAGGGGAAGTTCAAATTTTTTACCTCCATACTTCAACACTCTTTTTAGATGGTGTTTCACAAAAACAAACAGTATTCTTAATTTAGTCAAATGATGTTTTCCTACAAAAAAACCGGAAAATCCACAAAACAATCCACTACGATTTTCGAAAAACTCATAGCCTTGTGTTACTCTGGATGCAAATGTGATTATCTATTTTAATTTACTTGATATAAAGTTGAGCTTTACACGAATGTCCTTTGAGTAATGTACGAAATATTGGTGAAGCACCATCCTTTGAAAAGCCAAGCATAAAATTATAAATACCTGGTACTGAAAAATAAAATGAAATAACAATAAAATCAAAAAAAAAAAAAAACAAATAAGTTTTCAAACAATTTACTTTTTCCTTTTGCTCCTTGCATAATCATTGTAAAGCCTCTTGTTCGTGGTAATATATGATATTTTAATTCTGGTAAATTTTTCTCTCGTGCATATTTCATACTTTCTAATCGTTTTGGTTCTGTAAATCGTGTACCTTCACAAGCCATCAAAAACTACAGAAAAATTAAAAACAAAAAAAAAACACTTGTTAGCATACTAAACTATGGAATTCACATATGTTCTTTAGCCTCATTATACTAATACAAATGAAAAATTTCTAGCAGACTAACATTATTTTCCAAAGGGATTGTCGATTGTCAGAAGAACAATCTGTTTTATTTATACCTGCATTTCGAATATAAATTTGTCTCTATTTTTTCTTTTGCCTTATTGTTTTTTATTTTCGTATAATATTTTTCTTAATTTCATATTATTACTGATTTAACTGGTAATAAATTTTATTTACATATCCATTTTATCTACAGTAAGTCTCAACACACTGTTATATATCTCAAAAAGGAAGAGATGCCAATAACTGATGAAATCGGTTCTATTTAGAAATTTGGTTTCTTCTATGTCAAACTTTCATATAAGACATCCAAAAGTAATTTCTAGTGAAATTATTCCTATAGTACTTGTTTGTGCTTTTCTTAGACCGATTGAAAATTGAAATAGTTGATGATTATCAGCTTTTCATCTATCAATTTGATGATCGATCAGACTAGTTTTCCTATGATTTGATAGCGCTACAAAATGGAATATAGAAATATCGAAGAAAAAGCACTGGGCTCTAAGAAAAATTTTAAGGATACTATTCACTAGACATTATATTTTATACTTTTTTGACTGATATTTATTAGGTTTTAATCAGAAAAAATATTTGAATTAGCATTCAAAATCGAGTCGATCTATCTAGGTTTCAAATATTTTCATGAATTCTTTTCTATGCTTTCCCTCACGTCAGGAATAAGTTAAAAAATGAATTTCATCTAAAAATTATTTCAACATTCGAAATCAAGTTTTCAGACTGTAAAATGATAGTAGAACTCAAAATGACAAATGAATAAACAATAAAACCTACGTTTTAAATGAAATTCATTTTCTCACTCCTTCCAGAAGTGAATATTTCGACGAAAAAAGAAAATACTTCAAACTTATACAGATCGACTCAGTTTTGAATGCTGATTCAGAATATCATATTAGTTTCACATAGGTTCCACTTTTTTCTGATCGAAATATACTAAATATCAGTCAAAAAGGCATAAAATCATATCTCGACAATAGTATCCTTAAAATTTCTCGCCAGTCACCAAATTGATAAATAAAAAACTGATAATCATCAACAGCTGAACTCAGTGTATGTGTCTCAATCATTGACTATTTCAACCGACCACCAAACAACACTTTCAGACATCTTCTATGAGAGTTTAACATGAAAGAAACCAAATATCTCTATGGAAAAGAAATGTCCTCAGTTGTTATGAAATGATTGGAATGGAAGGCAAATCGCAAAACTTCGACTTCATAATTTACACTCACTAAATATTTCTTCAATGATTTCTACAAACAAAAACAAAAAAAAAACTAACAACCTACACTAAAATAATAATTATCTGGATAACCATTAAGAAGTTGTTGAATATCATGTTCTAATACTTTCTTATCACTTTCCCAAATACGACGTAAAAAAATTGATTCAGAAAAAAACCATGACCAACCAAGAATTGGTATTAAACTAAGTGAACGTTTTCCAACAATTTTTAAACCCTATTTAAAAAAAAAAAGAAACACCCGAAAATTTTTTAATTAAATCAAAATTTTTTTGAATTTTACTCCAAGTATACCAAGTTCTTGTGCAACTACTAATCCAAGAAGCCAATCAATTTCATATCGATGATTAACAAGTATAATTGAATATTCATGTTGAAGATGTTTTAAATCTTGTGGATCAACATAAACTGTTACATTAGAATCAGACCACCATGAATACAGAAAAGTTAATTCTAAAACAAAACAAAAAAACAAACAAATAATTTTAAATCAATTTTAAATACATACGACTCCATAATAATGTTCCTAGACAATAATTTATTCGACGATATATTTGTTTACTAAATGGCCAAATAAAAATACATGTTAAAAGTTGAACAAAATTAACAATTAAACCACTAATAACAAAACAATAGCAAATAAATATTTGCATTGGTAATAATGATTGAATAGTATTGAGAAATTTTCGATGGAACTCCATTAATTTGAAGTCAATATTCATGCACACAGAGAAATAATATAGGAAATCAAAAATAAAAAACAAAAAAATAAATGATATCATCATGTACACATATGATAATTAATGATATTTGAAATCATTATTCTACGTACTAATAAAAAAAACAAACAAATAAATATGATAATAATCATTCGTCTATAAAAAATTTATTTTATTTTGAAAGACAAAATTTAAATGGATGGGTAAAAATGAGAAAAAATTCATTCCTAAAAAAAAACAAAATGCAAAAAAGCACACAATTTTCATGCAGATCTGAATTAATAAAAAAAAATAATAATAATAAATTCATTCATGTTTATATCTCAATAGCCAGCTATTCTTCCATATAAATTAAATATCACATATAAATCATATTTAATTAATCATTTTTTTCTATCTCACCATAATGTGAACCACGTTCAATTTCTGTCATAGCAATCATAGCTCGAACACCAATACTTGCTATATAACACAAAAAACAAAAACAAATAAAAAGTAATTAATGATGAAATTGGATAAGCCCATTTTTTTTGCCATCAACAACATTGTTTACTAGTAAGATATGATACTGGATGACATAGGTTTTATATAGCTAACGAAAAAAACATTTTTCGAACCTGTAATCCTCAATGAGGATCTGGAGAAAACTCGATATGTTTAATTCCGTTAAAATGAACAGGAATGATGGGTTCTTATTTGACGTAAGTATCTGTCAGAAATTTTGAACACTGCTTTCGGAAGGCTTTTGAGCTCCCATTCGATAGCGAAAATTGTTCTCTATTGATGTATGCAAGATTCAGTTTACTTCATTTAAAAGTAGATCTTCAGCAGGGTAATTAATCATGCTAAGTCGAGCAGTGATGTTCATTTTTGCTTTCAGAATCATATGAAATCACTAGAGGAAGATATGTGAAATTTGAAATTTTTTCACCAATGGACATAGCTTGATCAATTACACTTCTGAAGATCTATTTTTGAGCTATAAAATGTCAATTTACCGAAATCAGGAATTTCAGAGAAACCTTACAACTTTTGAATGAATGATCTTATTTTGTCGCGGGTAGTAGTATATTAAATATTTAAAAGCTCTTAATAAATAAGAAAAACGATCTTTTCCAAATGCTGTATTTGGCTTTACATCCATTTATCATCCCGAGTGATTAATCTAACATCATGAAAAACAATTCTTAAGAGGTACAACAACGTAGTTTAATCGAATATGAACTAATCGGATCTCAAAATTAGGATTATCATTTCAAAATCTTATCATAGAAGACTAGAAACAATGTAAAATTTGTATTGAATGCGTAATTTTCAATGCTTTATCAGATGATAAGCTTGAAAAGTAAAAAAAAACATAGTGCATCGAGATTTTTGAATTTTCTTTGAAAAACCTTTCCAGAATCGTAAGGATTTCGATGAAAAGCGAGTTCATCATCGTGTTCAATGCATTAAATAAACTTCTTTTCATTGAACCTCTTATGATTCTGAAAAGATTCTCAAAAACCTTAACACATCATTTTTTTCTGTCGCTTGTTGAGTCTATCATTCGATAGTGTTGAAAATTGTATAATGAGGTTTCGAAATTCTCAGTTTTCATTCGTGATAGAGAAAAAGCAGATTTTGGACTCACAATCCTAATTTTTATAGTTCATATTCGAGTAAACTATGTTATTGTACCTATTAAGAATCTTTTTTTTCATGATGTTAGAATAATCACCGGAGAAGATACATGGATATAAAGCCAGTATAGCAATTTGAAAAAGGGATTGTTTTTTTTTTTTATTTATTAAAAAGTTTTCAATACTTAATATCCTGATTATCGCTTTCAACGTACTTGACTCTATCAATGAATATGCGTTTCAAATGTCATTAGGTATCATGTCTTACTACAAAACAATTTACAAAATAAAAAAAGTCTATTTTGTTGAGAGCATATCAATAGTCTTATTCGTTCTCATCCTTTCTATAATTTAAATTCTATTGTTTACCAAGAATAACTACAATAAGAAAAATTAATTGAGCAATAAATGAACTTGTCCAAAGAAATTTAATAAGATAAAATATTGATGGTATTCCAATGATTATCATCCAACTAAGTTCAATTAATAGATCATAATAATTACTTTGAATTTCAACACGAGCTAAGCCATTACCTTCAAATGTATCATGACGAACAAAATAATCATAAATTTGATCTTTTTCTTTATATAATTTATAAACCCAATTGTTACATCCATTAGTATCTTTTGGAATTTCAGAAAGTGGAATACGTCTAACAAATATTTCTGCTTGACAAGAACGACCTTGTATTATGCTTAAAAGTGTTGGTTTAGCTCCACTTTTTTTAAAACCAACAGTTAAATCATATATTCCTGTGACTAAATAAAGAAAATATAATTCATAATAAAATTTATTAATCTCTTTCGAAATAGAGAGAACTATGAATATTCTGGAAATAGTTTCAGCTTTTAGCTTATTGCTATGGAGATACTGCAACAATACAGTGTTTTTCAAGTAAATACCATGGTCTCTCTAAGATAGACCGAAAAAAAAACTGAATTTTGACTTGAAATTTTGTACATAGACAAGTCGTAATGAGAATAATTTATGTTAAAAGTTTCAGATCTTTCCGTTATTCTTCTTCTAAGATATGACTATGGTGCAAACACTCACAGATTCAATGTTCTTAGTGGCAAATCAAAAAAGTTGAAACTTTTACTATAAACTATTCTTTATTAAGACCTGTATCCATCTGCAAAAATGGTGAGAAGTTCTCTAAAAAAATGAGTGCAGTTTGAAATGTATTGAAAAAGCATTTGCATATTAGTTTCCTGAAATCTCCCAAATAGTAAAGATTTAGAGTCGTGAAAATTAGTTTTAGAAGGAAAGTCGGAATCTTAAATGATGGAGTGCTACTCACTCTAAATCGTCATAACTATTAGATAAAATATGATTTGTCAGAACACGAAACTTAATCGTTGAATTGATTCTTGCATCTTCTATTTTTCTGTCAGTGTATATCAAATGATATAAAATGTATTACTATATTTCTACGCATAGATTTAATACAGTAGTCGCAAAAAGTCTCGCTATCAAGTACCTAAACTTTTTAATGCTTTAGTCTCATAGTTTGACTACAAGTCGAACATGTCGAACTCTGATCGCAAGGACTTAATCATTAGCCTTACAATTGTCGCTGGCGAATGTCCTGCCCAAATCGAATTTTCCCTCAAAATTTCATGATCGAAGCCATCGATGAAGGAGAGATCAAGTCTGAGACCATTCTAGACAATAGAATCTTTCTCTTGCCTCAAAGATTACAGCGGATTGAAGCATCCTATCTGTGACACAATATAGACATGCGAATCTTTATTTGTTAATAAAAAAATGAATATTAACGTATTTGAATTGTGAAAAATCAATGTTTTCATCGTAAGTCCTTTGCATTAAGGCCTATCAATCTTGGATTGCTGCTTACAATTTCTATTTCTAGTCTAAATATCAGACAAAAGAATTGAAGTCTATGTACTTTTTACTCGATACCGGGACAATATTTTTTTTTCATCGGTTTTAAATAAAACAGTTCTAGAAATTTTTTGAAAATCTGAAATATTTTTTTGCTAACATTAGATATTAATTTATCTTACTTCGATCTTCTGCTCCTTGTAATAATAAAGTAAAACCTTTTGTACGTGGTAATATATGATGTTTAAGTTCAGGTAAACCTTTTTCTTGTGCAATTTTCATACTTATTAATCGTTTTTTTTCAGTAAAACGTGTACCTTCACAAAAAAGTAAAAACTAAATAAAAGAAACAAAAACAAAAAATTCGAAAAACAACAAAATAGATAAAAAAAACGAAATCTTACATTAAAAAAACAATTTTTTGGATAATTATCAAGAATTTTTCGTAAATCTTTAACAAGTGTTTCACGATCATTTTCCCATATACGTCGTATAAAAATTGATTCAGTAAATATCCAACACCAACCCATAATAGGTAATAATTTAAGACATTGTTTACCAATTATTTTTGATCCTTGCATTATACCAATACGTTGACAAATAATCCAACCAGCAATCCAATCAATATCATATTTATGATTCATTCTAAAATATTTCAATATCTTTTTTACGTTTTTATATATTAAAAAAAGAAAAGAATCTAATTCGACTTACATAACAATAGCATGTTCTTTTTGAATTTTTTCAAGATCATCAGGATTCATATACAATGTACAATCACTTTTTGACCACCATTGTGCTATGAATGTAAATTCTGTTCAAAAATAAAAACAAAAAATTTGTCAATAAGTTTACGATTTAGAATTATGTATAAATTCAAAAAGTAAGAAGTTTCTTAGAAAACTTTTCTTTGATAGTCGTGTGATATTGACTTTAATATTTCAAATTAGAAAACAAAAAAAGGCTTCAAAAATATTTCTACTCAATTTCTATGGGATTAATAAGATGCAAATATGTTTATTATAGTTTTATTTGTAAAAAAGTTAATATAACAAGGAAAATTATGTGGGCTTTTATATGTATTGGTTTGTGAACGCATACCTATGGGATTTGAACCGGACACAAAACCGTTGGTACAATGTGCACAATATCGGCAATCAATCGATGGTAGTTTGATACTTAAGCGATTGGCTATTCTCTAATCGTGGTATGCTGTCAGTTCTTATGAGTATCGCCGTAGTGTGAACGAACGTGCAACATAGGTAGGAGCATGCTATATTCTGAACAATGACACATATCTAACGATCATGCCATATATAGAATAAGGAAATTATCTAAAGAAGATCACACCATATAGAAGATAAAGCGCAATGTAATTAAGAAGACGAAATGATAACAGAGTCATTATGAATAGTCGTCTGTAATTTTCCTTCATGATAGATCTCATAATTTTGACGATCTGTCTAAAAGTTTCAGCTCAAACAAATGATTTCTTCTTAACATATTCGATGTCAAAAAAAAATGGACTATTTTTGGAGTTTTCATGATACAGTAATGTTTTATTTTGCATACCTCTTATTTCGAAATAGAACCATCTGTCTGAATTAAAACTTTCATGACATCATATAAACCATAGGAACTATTGCTGTAGAACATTTTAGACATAAATTCTTTGTCACGGTTTTTGTTTTTCGTCAAATCCTGTACAATAAGGTTAAACTTTCATAAAATTGAGCATAATTCGAGAAGAAACGACCTAATAGCAAAGGTCCTTCGGTAGTTTTCATCAATACTATGAGTCATACATCAAAGCCAAAACTATTATCAGCACCAGAATTCAAGACATTCGGATGTTTTTTGAATAATTTCCGATGGGAGCAAGATAGAAACCTGCGGTTTCCACTGTTCGAAAGAGCGGTGTCCGGATCATCGATCTGCATAGAGTTCATTAAGACGAAAGATGTTTTTTGGATCAACAATTTTTCCTTCACGTATATTCATCGATTTTCACAATAAATCCCAACTCAAATTATATGAAAATGTAGCTAAAATCACCCTTTTCTTCGCTATACAATTAGCACAATGATAATAAAACATATGATAATTTCATAGTGAAAAAAGATAATATTAGCTACATTTTCATATAATTAGAGTTGAGATTTATTGTGAAAGTACGCGAGGAAAAAAGTGTTGATCCAAAAACATCTATACAAAAAAACCCATCTTTTGTCTTAATGGACTCTGTGCAGATTGACGACCCGAACATCGCTCTTTCGAACGGTGAAAACCGCAGGTCTCTATCTTGCTCCCATCGGAAGTTATTCAAAAAACATTCGAATGCTTTGAATTCTGGCGTTGATAATAGTTATGAAGTTAGTTTAAGACATGATATCATATTTAATAGTACGAATACTTACGACTCCAAATACCCAAGGCTAAATAACGATTCATTTTTCGATATAATTCTTTACTAAATGGCCATATTATATAAGAACATAATTGTAAAAAATTAATAATTAAACCACTAACTAAAAAAATATAACCAAGAAATGCAACAATAATGAATGATGATTTAAATTCATTATAAATATGCATAATCTGAAAATATAACAAAAAAAACAAAAAAAAAAAGAATTTAATTTGAAATTGTTTTTTTATATAAATATTCTTTCATATTATTTTCATCATTTATCAATGATATAAATAATATAGGATATTCAATAAATATTCTCTCATGAAATAAATCAATTATTGTATTAAATGAACGTTTTTCATATTTTCCAAATTGTTTTCGTTTTTGACCAAAATTTTCAATATAAATACAAATTTGTTGTTCATGAGAAAAATTTTTTAATTTTAAAAGAATTAATTCATCATTTATATTTGATGTTTCATTTAGATGATTATGAAATTTTTTTAAAATATTTAATAATGTTGTTTCATTTGTTGATAAATTAGTTATTGTCCATTTATAAAATGTATTAATAAAAAATTGACATTCAATATGCCAAAAAATATCATTTGCTTTTTTATCAAACCACATTTGATTTTGTTTATGTTTTGTTGAAAATCTTGGTAAATAAAGAATTTGTATAGATCCTAATATTTTTAATTTATTTTGTATTAATTTTTGAAAATATTTTAATTCATTAAATGATTTCTTTTTATTTCCAAGTTCATTTCGTTTACCTGTTTCAATTTGACGATTTATTTCTTCTAAAAATCGATAATCTGATAAAAGATCAAGATCATTCATTTTATTTAATGATTTAAATGATGTTTTATCTCGTTGTCCATTACAATTTAAAGTCTTTTTATGTGTAAGACAACATGATAAAGAACATGTACGAATTGAACATCGTGGACATGTATATTTTATTGGATTTTTATAACATATAGAACATTTTTTTGAATCTTTAGAAAATTCCATCTAGAAATAAAATCGAATCTTTCAATATTTTAATAATAGTTCTTTTGAATAATATTCTAATACTAGAGTTTAAGCCGATGTATTAACCAGCGATGGCAGCTCAGCCGAATGGTTTATACACCTCTATCTAATACAAGTTTTTTGTCAGTTATATTTTTTTTTGACTGTATGGTTTAGTTCTGGCATAGGCATTTCTTTTCATAATTGAAAGAATGTACAAAATTGCCCGAATTTGAATAGTTCAAGGTATTTATATCTGAACTACTCGTTGAATAATGGTCATCGATGATGAAAGAGAAAAAATTTTCTTTGATCCTACTGTTATGTAATTAATAGATGTGGGATTTCACAAGTCGATCTGCTGAAAATATCATTTCCATATCTCAATGCTAATGGAAGAACATTCTAGATGTTTTTCTCATGCCAGCAGGTCATTGTGTGAAATCTTACATTCATAAATCATACTACAGTGGATGAAGACAACTGTTCCTCTTACATCGAAAGAAATACTTGTGCAAGAATTGAATTATACAATTAAAAAAAAAAGGAAATTGACAGAAAGTTGTATTAGAACATTGTTCATTTGAAGTATGTCTTAGAAATAGTAAGTCAAAACGAATAAATATTAAAAGAAATATTATTGAAATACTTAAAGGTCTATTTTTCCTTGGAACACTCGATACAAATTAATATAAATCAATTTTCATAGAGACTTTAACTTTGTATCAATTCAAAAGATTTCGAATTGACATTTTTAATGTGATCCACATGTTGAAGTATAGTTTATGGAAAATCTAAAACAAAAAAAAACAAACAAATGATTCAACTAGGATTTGCTAACGAGCATTACTACTAGTTCATATAAGAGAATTATAATAAAGAATAGTTACTCTTGTTTTACTGCTTTTCAAGAAAAAAAAATGAAATTTTTTTTTTGTGTGTGCATAAAACAAATTGATGAAATTTATTAGATCTATCGAATCTAATCTTAGATTTGATTACAAATCGAAAGAGGTATATTTGTCGATAGCCACAACAACCCGATTCTATTTTATATTTTAATCTTATAGCAAGTCCATTTACAGTTTTTTTCTAACTTCAGTGCTTTTTGGACATGAAGCTTTTTGTTATTGCTTTCTTACAGGATAATATCTATATAGTATCTTCAAATACATTTTAATAAAAAACCGGATTCGAAAAGAGAAAGAGATGAATGTACATGTGTACTGGAATCTAGTTGTTTCTAGTTAAACTTACGACCATATCTTTGCCTATTCAGTGACTTTTTCCAAAAAGTTTGATAAATTTCATATGTGAACTTATAAAAATCGTCTTTAGACATATTTAACAAATTACGTATATTCTCGATTATTTGTTTTCATATTATCACAATTACCTTTTCAATCTAATACCTATGCACTTTCTTTATCTAATCATGAGTCATGAAAATAAGATACATCAAGTTTACTCATAAGTACAGGTGATAAATACTTGTCTTATCAAGTTTGTTACTTATTTAGTTTTCTTGTCAATTGAAAAAAATAACAAAAGAATCCTTTTTTTTGTCCTTCAATCTTTATTTTTCTTCATTAATGCAATTATTTAGAAGAGTATCGATGCGTGTTTTAATAAAATATTCGCAAAAAAAAAAGATCTCGATTGATGAATGAATAATTGTTTTCATTCGATGATTAACTCAGAACATTCTTTACTAAAACCTAAACATAACATACTAAAAGAACAGTTAAAATTGATAAGAAAACTACTGATTGACTCCCATCATTGAGGTTTAGAAGAAATTTTTTTTCGGATACATATACAATTCATAAGAAAATATGCGTTCATTGTTCGAATGAACAACATAATATTGATACAAAAGAAAGATACATATTCATGTAAGTACTACACAAACATATGAATCTATTTAAAAAATTTATTTTATACTCACAACTTGACTATTGTACATTTTCACATGCATTTAGATAAGATTAGTTATATAGATCAATATTGTTATATAAAAAAAAAAATTTACTATGTCAATAGAGAATCTAAAAATATAAATTAACAAATTCCTTAATACAAAAGAGAATTGTTAAGAAGAGTTCATAAGGTTCAGTGAGATATCCATTATCATAATTTATGAATAAAAATCTGATTATAAGTGGGTTTTATTATTTATCTATATCAAGATAAAGAACGCAATAAGAGTTTATAGAGTTTAAATTGTTACTATGGATTCTTATTTGTACATGGTTGATTTATTTTAGAAGTGAAACCTTGACATAATAATGTTTGTAAAGGAGAATGTCGCTTTTATCTAAAAGAAACACTTTAATTTTATATGATAAAAATAAACAAATTATTTTATTTGCTATCTATTTTTGATTTAATTGACACTAATAAAATATAAAATTCAACATTTTCTTTTTTTTCATATTTAAAATTTAATTTGATACTTAAATATATCCAATCATGATATAAGATCAACAATAGATGTCGCTAGTTTCTTGTGTGTAAAAGCGCGTGAAATATAAACTATTATCGATTCAAAAAACAGATCAATGGATTTTGTTGTATCATAAATAACTCGGGCTTAAAGTACCTAGCTATCTGCAGTTTTCAGTATTCGAAGGAGAACAGATAGATCTATCAATCTATACAAAAAATTAGAAAATCAAGCAATGGTCAGTTCTTATTGACCATTTTGGATACGATGCTCTTGGAAAATTTCTATTACATGTTGACCTTTACGATAGTCATTTGATAAAGAAAATCAAGATTTCTCTATGTGGTTCTGTTGTCAAGTTATAAGCATCCTTCTAAAATCTCCAAAATCGGTCAATTGACCACACTAATATAATTGATGGTTTGTGTTTTCTTTTTTAAAGTAACATGAGGTAATCAAATCGATATTATAAAAATCCATTGTTTCCTCGTAATACTTAATCAAAACTGATAACTTTGAAGTTTTGGTCAGATTTTTTTGATGGTGCTTAAAAAAAGAAAACAAACACCACCACTCGTATTAGTATGGTCAATTGATCGATTTCGGGGATTTCAGAAGAATGCATATAACTCTGGAACGGAACTACTCAGAGAGGTCTTGGTTTTCTCTATCAAATGAATATCTTAAAGGTCAACATGGAATGGAAAAATTGTCACTAGTATCGTTTCCAAAGTGCTCATTGAGAACTGACCATTGCTTGATTTTTTAATTTTTTGTATAGATTGATAGATCTATCTGTTCTCCTTCGAATACTGAAAACTGCAGATCGCTAGGTACTTTAAGCCCGAGTTATTTATGATACGACAAAGTCCATTGACTTTTAGAACGGATAATAGCTCTTTTATTCCACAATAAAACACCGCCGATCTTGTATTACGTCTCCTTTATTTTTAAAATTTTTAATTCAAAATGATTTTTCAGAAAACTCAAACGACTTTGAGGATTTAGAATGTTTTAAAAGTCTAGTAATAATGTTGTCTTTAGTTTTTTGAGAGCATAAATGCACCAACTCGCTGATAGTCTTATAAAACTAATAAAAAACCTAAGTCGTCATGGTCTTGAAAATATAAGGCATTACTTAGAAGTCGATCTATTCGGTTCATCATTTCCATTCTATCGATTTCTGTCATCTTATGAGAATTTAAAAATATATTGGAAGTTTAATAAAAAGAGTTCTAGAAAGAAAACGATAATTATGAAAATTTTCTGGAAAGAATCGATTGAAAACATTCCTTTCAGAAATTCAATGCATAATGGCTAATGGATATCTTGCGTCTCTGAAGAACTGAATTGATAAGCATTTACACAAAAAGTAAAAATATGGTGATTCATACGATATCGATTGACCTTTTTACCAGTTGAATTCTGTACTCGTAATGATCGCTTTTGTGCCAATTTTCTACCGATTAAATTAAAAAAAACTTAGTCGACAAGTTACTAATTTACTGATAAGAATGATGAAGTCTTTCCTATAGTTCAATGTAGTCGGATATTCATAGAATGGTTTTGCTGAATTTTAATAGTTTGTTACAATTTCGTTATGAACAAAAAACTAAAGCAAAATACTGTCAAAGTTCTGAATAAGCTTGGAATTAAAAATAACTTAAAATTATCTCCGAATACATCTAGTTCATTCATCAAGTTCTGATTATTACCTCGTATGTTATTTTCAATGAAAAAATATCGAAAATGTCTGAATCAATAATTTAGTGTTCAAATAAATTATGATTATTTCATTATAGATTTTGTGATTTTTATTAGTTATAAGAATTTTTTAATAAATCGAACAGAAAGATTCCACATCACTTTGTGTCATAACATCAATATGAAATAGCTCAGCAATATTACGACATCTAAGTTTCGTTCAGCTCAATATAATTAAATGAAAGTTTATTCTTTTCAGATAAGGACAACCTATGGCCGACGAAAGAACCTTTTCAGCACTCCCTTCTGATTTCGATGACTTTTTTGCCTATAGACACTGCATAGTGCTCTAAAAAAACCTTAACAGGATTTGGGTTCCTATTGAGATTTGACTAAGCTATATATCTATTTTCTAGAAGTCTCAAGTTTTCGAAAAACTCGTATTTTCGAATTTTGATCTCAAACTTTGCGCATATAAGGAATTCCACTAGACTAGTTTCCATAAAAAAAACTGATACTGATCATGATAAACAAGCAACATAATAAAAAATTTTAGTTGATAGCTGAATAAAATCGACTTTGATTATTGTATCTAAAAATGATGATCGATAAATAAAACAATAAAATAATTGTCTCATGTTCAGTAAACATGATGTTTAAACCATTAGAGAACGAAATGGAAAAACTGAATTAGAATGCTTCTTCATTATTTTATTTTCACGACAAATGATCGTTTTAACAAAGAAAAAACAATAGAAGAAAAAAAATCACACGTTCGAAATTTTTTGTAAATATTCTGTATGTGAAGAGTTAATCTTTTGTTTAAGTTGATTGTTATTGATGTGTCCTTCGATGAAGTCAGATATTGCGGCACTTGTTTCGGACGAAAGTTCATTTGATAGTTTATAATATTGAATACCTTTAAGGGGTCGTTGATCCTAGAACAACTTATTAAAATATCTAGTAGTGAACATCTCTCCCAAATGAACACCTCCTATTAGTAACTCACTCAGACGCGATGAAGCAACTTTAGCTGGAAATGCATCTCTCTAATGTGAACACCTCTGTGTACTGAATAATGAATTTTTTTTATTTTGCGATAACTGTGATCTCATAGATCCTGTCAATACAAGTGTGGAAAAAGTATTGTTTGGTCAACGTTTGTGATGGTGTTATGATAGAATATAAAGGGGTCTTACCTTGATGGCCAAAGGTAACGTGATCAGCTAAGGAGGGGATGTAAGATCATTTTTGGATGGATAATTTATTTTATTAAGGCAAAACACACACAAGAGAGATAGTATTAAATGCTACTGCTCTCCACCAAAACAAAATAACAACTGAACGATATCAAAATCAGAAAAAATTCTAAAGAGAGAGATAGACAGAACGAAAAAGAGAAATCTAACTATTGAACGAACGAAAGAGAAAAATCCAATTAACTACAGAACGAAAAGGAAGACGCCGACAAATGAGAAAATAAGACGAAACCAATTGAACTTCGTTCAATAAAGTTAGCGTTGACATAGTGTCATCTGTTGACGCGAACAAGTATAATGAAGAATACGAGAGAGATACAAACCAAGAGAGAGAAAAATAATAAATATATGAACTCTCAAAATTTCACACATCCTCTCTTAATCCTTTCTTGCCTTTAGCTACATCTGACAGTTCGAAAGGACAATTCGCTTAGTAACATCAATCTGATAGCCCTAATAAACACGGGAAAAGTTTGAACCAAATTCAACAAACAAGCCTTTCTCTTATGAATTATAGTGTGTGCCTTAACATTATGTATTTAGCGAACATAAAAGAAATTATTTTTATGATAAAGATTAGATTCAAATTATTGATTTGGAGTCTACAATATGTGGACTATAATTTGATATAAAACCGGTTTCTAAATGCCTTATAGTTTAAAAGAATCAAATTTTTATAAAATGGTATTTATAGGAGCTATACTCATGTCAAAAAAAGGTTATAAGAAAAGATTAAAAAGCAGATTATAATAGTGCCATTATAATCTGCTTTTTAATCTTTTCTTATAACCTTTTTTTGACATGATTAGGGCAAGAAAAGGTTAAAACAGTTTTCTTGTCAGTAGATTAATCTGAACCATACAAACAAAGAAGATTCTTACAGTGGATGTTGACGATAAAAGATCTTCAGCCATTATTTTGGTTCTCTATTATAGATAATCCACGTGAAGATTTGAATCAATGTCTGCAAGTGAGTATAGTAAAGTGAATGAAAGATAGTTCTCTGCTATATATAAACACAATGCGTAAGCAACGACCAATAGGCATTGCTTACAACGTCATAAAACGATATTCATTTTTTCTTTCTTCTATTGCTATTTTTTCCTCTCTACATTCTGTTAAGCAGAACATAACATCAATCTAATCCCCAATGCGATTTCTATTGGTCAATTTGGGCATCAGTTAACGTTGTTCACCTTTATTCTGTTTTTTCCTCTTTCTCATTTTTTTCCTCGAACGACTTATTAGCTGCAGCACAATAAGTACAACTATTATGTTTTTTTCTACACTCTGTGATAAATAAACTAAGATGTTTTAACAAATCAAAACAAATAACAAGGCAGTATTTTTATTTCAATTTTAATCCTATTCGAAATGCAATAATGATATGGGCATTTTTGACCTTTTTTTAATATTTATGCGATCATTTACAACCAATAATAGGACAAATAACAAAGTTGAAATACCAAAAACTAAATAAATGTAAACATCAAAAATAATAATAAATTCAACATCATAAACAGATAATAACATAAACGATATTTCAATATGAATTTCTTGTATAAATAACGAAATAAACAGTGATATCATTGTAATCAATATCATCATGCAATTAATAAAATAAACCTACTAATAACACCATGACACAAATAACAATTAATAAAACAAATTTAAATCATAACTATACTATAAATTTATCCATGAACAATTATAACATGTAAAAAAAAACACTAAAACTTTTTAATTCTGCTATATGAATAATAATCATGTATTAAAAAATAATCTATATCTCAGGTCAAAAATTCTTATATCATTATTACAATTCGAATAAAATTAAGATTCAAAGAAAAAAATTGCTTTTTCATTTGTTTTGATTTTGTAAATTGATTTATATTTCTCAAGATTTATTTTTTTCATACCTAATATGCTTTATCTTAGAAATAATGAACTCACATCATATGTTGTTTTTGCTGTTATTGTTGATGACGTCTCACAAAGTTCTTCTACGTCGTGTAATGTTATAATATCAGTTGTTAAATTAGATGATGATGATGATGATGATGATGATAAATTCTGAAAAAAGAGAAAATTTTGAAACAATTTTTACAAAATGTTTTAAATATTTCTATTCTAACATTTACCAAGAAGAGAACTACGGAGACATACTTTTTGACTCTAAAACACGACTACAACTCCAAAGGCAAGACGTTGCCCGATCTGAACGGACAAAAATTGACGGGGATAATGGCAAAGCAATGAAATTGATTATTTTTTCTGGTTTCTCAGCTCCTTTTCCTGTTCTAACGCCTATAACTCTATCAAATCAAACCACAGGCACCTAAAAATTCTTTCACAACTTCAGTTTGGTTGAGGAATCGATTGGTGTAAAAAAAAATTATATGTTAATTTCGACCATAAAATTGACTTTCTCGATTGACTCCTAAAATCTCTCTTAAGGACAAGTATACATGCAAAAAGTCAAGTTAAAGTAGAAGTACATTTTTTAAATTACGGAATACTTTTACTTGCAGTACTTGTACTCAACCTAGCTCTGATAGTCTAAAAGAAAACGTACTTTTTGTTCTTGATACCATTTATCATAACTGTTCCTAATTAAATCATAATCAGTTGCATGATATCTATAAATATGTTCAAAGATAATAACTAAATTTTCAAAATCATTCGATGGTGTAAAGTACGCAGGACAACTAGTTGCATGATATAATGGACAATGAAAAAATGTTGTTTTTGTTGTATAATTAACTAATAAAATAATAATTAAATCATCTATTTTTAATCAATTTCAACTTACTATATTCGAAAAAATTAAACACAAGAGGTTTTTCATCATCATAAAGTTTTTTCACAAGTTTTTTAATTGCTAAAATTATCAAATCAGTCATCGTTTCGAATACTTTATTACAAATGAACCCACGTGTACAGAGAAAACAGAAGAGAGAGAAAATCGAAAGAAAATCGAATTAGTGTATTTTTTTTTACATAGGCAACAATGTGGACTAAAAGCTCTAGTCGAAGCTGCATATTAGACTGAAAAATATTTAAACCACGAACAAGTGAATTTCTCGATTTAGATCATCATGAATAAAGAAAAACATTTTGCTTTCTTTCCTATAATCATTGTATTTGGCAGCTGATTGTTACTTTTTTTTAAATTATAAATAATTGATTTTCTGATAATAAATATAAACGGGAGTTCCATAATAACTGAGGATAAATTGTTAATGATATTTTTTTATACTTTTTCTTGACATAGAGAGCTAAAATTTTTATTACATACCGGGTGACCAATAATGAATGGCCGCACTTTGCATTTCATATTTTCATCTCTAAATAAGTCTCATCAAAAAACAAAATATACCACAAGATGCAGCGTGAAAAGTTCCACAATTTACAGAAGACAGCTTTTCCTACAGTTGCACTTTTTTGCTTTCAAAATCGGCAAAATTCTCTGCGATCAAATTTCGACCAGCCGAAAATTGATTGCAGTGAATTTTGCTTTTTTTTGAAAACAATTACAATAAGCTTTACTGTGTAAATTGTAAAGCTCTTCTCGCTGCATCTGGTGGTATATTTTGTTTTTTTTTTAAATAAAAGATATCAGGTGATAAAAAGATGAGATAAGAAAAAATGAATCCATCTTGTATTCAAAAAAAATATCGTTTTCGCATGGTCAAAATTTGATCGGTCAGCTGATTTTGAAAACAAAAAGTGCTACTATAAAAAAACGGTCGTATGTAAATTGTAGAGCTTTTCATACTGCATCTTGTGGTACATTTTTTTTTTTGATGATACTTATTTAAAGATGAAAGTATGAAATGCAAAGTGTGGCCATTCATTATTGGTCACCCGGCATATATCTAATCAAGATCTTGTGTTTGTGAAAGTTTCAGTTGTTTTGCTATAACTAGTGGTGAAACACATCGACAAGATTAAAACTGCCAAATTTTCGTACTCATTTTTTGCATTTTATTTTGCCAATGAAAATAATACAAAAAATCGAGTTCGATGATTAAAGTATTTCAATCGTATGGATGTATTTCATCGCTAGTTATAGCAAGAGAACTGAAACTTTCACAAATACAAGACCTTGATTAGATGTATATGTGATAAAAATTTCAGCTCTGTATATCAAGAAAAAGTTATCTCGAAAGAGAACCATCTATCTGAATTAAAACTTTTATGACATCACAAAAACCATAAGAACTAGTGTCGTAGAAAATTTTAAACGTAAATTCTTTGTCGCGATTTTTTTTCGTCAAATCCTGTACAATAAGGTTAAACGTTTGTAAAATTGAGCACAATTCGAGAAGACAGGCCTAATTTCAAAACCTCTTCGACAGTTTTTATCCATACTGTGAGTACTACCTAGGCATGATCAAAACTAGTTGGGAAACATGAAAGGGTATGGATCTTCCTTTTCACGTACACTCACACCATGAAAGGAATTATTTTTCAAAAACAAATACATATGATCACTAAGTTTCCAGCTTTATATAGATAAAAACCGTAGAACAAAAAAACTCAAATGAACAATAAATCTATTTAACTATACTAGTGTCATGATTCGTCCCTGTTTAAGCTATTCTCATTGTTAACTCAACGCTAATTCTATTATGTAAGTGCCAGAATGTCCATCGCAGCTAGAAGTATGCCGCTACCGAGAATTTCTGCAAAAATCTCTGCTTTCACTCTGCTAAATTAATACATTTAGATTGAATCCATCAGATTCACCACGATTCTGACTGTTGGATTTGTAGACACTAAAATTGAATGTAAATTCATGTGATTTTACAGTTTCTCTGGAAATGGAACTGCCTCTATCGCGCTCGCCATGGATATCTTTGATGATTGCCAAGAAGTAAAAGGTTTACGATGATATCATATTTAATAGTACGAATACTTACGACTCCAAATACCCAAGGCTAAATAACGATTAATTTTTCGATATAATTCTTTACTAAATGGCCATATTATACAAGAACATAATTGTAAAAAATTAATAATTAAACCACTAACTAAAAAAATATAACCAAGAAATGTAACAATAATGAATGATGATTTAAATTCATTATAAATATGCATAATCTGAAAATATAACAAAAAAAAACAAAAAAAAAGAATTTAATTTGAAATTGTTTTTTTATATAAATATTCTTTCATATTATTTTCATCATTTATCAATGATATAAATAATATAGGATATTCAATAAATATTCTCTCATGAAATAAATCAATTATTGTATTAAATGAACGTTTTTCATATTTTCCAAATTGTTTTCGTTTTTGACCAAAATTTTCGATATAAATACAAATTTGTTGTTCATGAGAAAAATTTTTTAATTTTAAAAGAATTAATTCATCATTTATATTTGATGTTTCATTTAGATGATTATGAAATTTTTTTAAAATATTTGATAATGTTGTTTCATTTGTTGATAAATTAGTTATTGTCCATTTATAAAATGTATTAATAAAAAATTGACATTCAATATGCCAAAAAATATCATTTGTTTTTTTATCAAACCACATTTGATTTTGTTTATGTTTTGTTGAAAATCTTGGTAAATAAAGAATTTGTATAGATCCTAATATTTTTAATTTATTTTGTATTAATTTTTGAAAATATTTTAATTCATTAAATGATTTCTTTTTGTTTCCAAGTTCATTTCGTTTACTTGTTTCAATTTGACGATTTATTTCTTCTAAAAATCGATAATCTGATAAAAGATCAAGATCATTCATTTTATTTAATGATTTAAATGATGTTTTATCTCGTTGTCCATTACAATTTAAAGTCTTTTTATGTGTAAGACAACATGATAAAGAACATGTACGTATTGAACATCGTGGACATGTATATTTTATTGGATTTTTATAACATATAGAACATTTTTTTGAATCTTTAGAAAATTCCATCTAGAAATAAAATCGAATCTTTCAATATTTTAATTATAGTTCTTTTGAATAATATTCTACAGTCGAGATTCTTGACTTTCAATTATTGAAAATTGTGTTTAACTTCATAGTCGAAGCTGTCTTGCTGTTCCGCTCAAGCATCTAATTTCCAAACTTTTATTTTTGCATGTACATAAGTCTATTGCAATTTATTTTAGTATTTCTAAATTTTGATTTCAATAAATATTGATTTTAGCTAATCCAATCAAATATCAAGCCAAAATAATTTACTAAAAAATGCTTCGGATTGGAATTAGTATCTGTTTGATTCTTTCAATGCATATTCAAGGTCCATTTTCAACCTTGCCATTGATCTAATTGATTAAAAGCGTATTGATTCACCCAAATAAGTCAAGATTATCGACTATTTTCCTTTAACACCTAATTTTTCCTCAAAAAGTGGATTTATATTCAAAAAGAGAAGAAAAATAAAGGAAAAGGAGGCGGAGTGGGAAGCCAGGATAGCTAGATAACTAAGTGAGTAGATAGGTAGGCAGATAGAATAGAACATGATTTCTGTCGTTATTCTGATGCTAGCAGGCATGAGTAGTGGGCTGAAGTTAGAGTTCTTTATTCATCATTCAACAACAAATAGCTGAGGAACGCGTTTTGAAAACGTGACAGACTTTTTTTCTAAGAAAAGAAAACGGTATAGAAACTGGGCAATGCGTTCTTAACTGCTTTCAATCGAAACGATCAAGAACGCATTCTGAAAAAGTGACAAAATTTTTTTTTTCTTAAAAAAAGTTTTTGTATTTTTCGGAATACGTTCTCTATCATTTGCTTTTTAGGAACATTTTTCACTGAGTTCTTGATATGCTTCATCTAATGAATATAGTCTCAATCGAAAAGTGATCTATCACTTGGACTCCTTTCTTCGTTAGTAAAATTTATTTTTCTTCGTTCAAATGCCGATTGATTCACATCATTACATTCTTATTGTTTATGAATAGAAGCAAAAATCTAGGAAAGTTATGGTTTATAACATGTTGTCAAGTTCATTGGATAATCATATTCATAATCGGGTACTTTGCCTGTTATCCAATTGACAAATCTCGTAACAGTTGTTGACAGCAGTTTTTCTGTATCCAGATCATATTTTCTCATAATCATTTTGATTGGTTTTTGTTCGGCTTTTTTAACATACAATCGATTTACATATCGAAAATGATGATATGTTTCATTAAATTCTGTTTTCCAAGTAAGACAAGTACCATCACAATCGGGATCAAATATTAATTCATCATATATTTTCTGTTCACCACCAAATGATTGAACGAGATTTGGCCAATACTTCATTTCATTGTATGGACCACCTCTATTGGCAATGCATCCTGGTGGTTTCGACATAAAATCAAAAAAATAAGAACGAACATCATCACGTACATATATATCTTGATTGCCACCAAACTCTTCATCGGCATCGTTCGAGTACCATAAACGAGACATTTTACCTGCTGGTGTATCGATAGCGTAGCGCTCTTGAGCTCTACCATCTATTGCCAAAGTAAATCGATATTGATTGGGGTTTGGAATTTGACCGATTGTTAAACCAATCCATAATAAAGTTAATAATAAAACTGTTACTGTCATCATTGCTTGCATTATAAGCAAATAGTTCGCAAATTTGAAGAAGTTTTATATAGAAAAGAATCTTCTAAAACATCACCTGTCGAATATTCTACAATTGTTCTGTGTGATATTCGACAGCTGATGCTTACAAGGTTTTTTTTTAATGAAAATATTGTAAAAGAAGTCAACCTACATTCATATAATAAAAACAATAATGATTATTGTATTTTTATTATTGAATGATTTCACGGAGATCGATAAATCAGTCGAGTAGTTTCTTCAGAACACTATTCTTGAAATCATTGACTTCATTATCTCATCTAACGACATTATCATCAATGACAATTTCAAGAAGACTTTTAATTTCATTCTTTACCAATAATCATTTGTGGAAATATTTAACTAGAATGATTAAAAAATAAACTATTAAGATGCACTGTGATAATACAAATATTCATTGCGGCATTTATTTCCATTAGCAAGATTAATTTTGTCAATTATTTTCAGATTTAGAATAACTTCAACGTTTCATCGATCAATAAGACGTTTTTAATATTCATATTGAATCAATTATTGAAACTGACATATGTGATGATCAGTTGTATGCTGAAGTCTTTGGATGATATAAATCTATTCTTAGAACAAATAGGAACGGAAACTAAATAAAAACTTTCTTTATGATTACTGTATATAGGAAACATTTTAATACATGAATGAAAATATCAGCGAATTATCTACTAGTCTCAACCACTGTTTATAAATAATATATGATCAAAAATCAGTTTTGATCCTTTCCTGCTTCTCTCTACTGAATAGCAGTATAAAAATCATAGTTAATTATTATATTTATCTAAAATAAAGTGATACTACAAAGTTATTGTTTCTATTAGTTTATATATCTTGTATAGAACATAGATACATCAATCAACAAGTAAATAAAAATTTATTTTTGTGAAAATAAATAACAATAATGGATTATAAATGGTAAACAATCGATATAGTTGGTATAGACGACTTGAATGTGTTCATACCATGTATGTATAAACAAATTGATAAACTTCGATAATTTTTTTTTCGATTTTTATATACACAATAATGAGAATTCAGACTAGTCTACATGCATGATTGCTTGGCAAGCGACAAAGTGACGGTATTTCCATTGCTACAGCATCTAGAAAATATCTGTCTTTCTTCGTCTGTTTTATTGGATTTTGTGGCTTTTCAACTTTCTTCTAAGAGAGTGACTTGAAATGAATTACGAATAAAAAAAGATCTAGTAACAAGCAGCGACTTAGTCTGTTGCTGCAGTGTGAAAAATGTCTAGCAGATAACCGTAGTGGTGAATCAATTGATAGCCTCGCCACAGGCATTCCTATTTGATTGCTATACTTTGATAGAATGTATAGGGAGAATCCCAATACAGAATCTATGATAGCACAAGCAGAAAATCCATTATATAATGTTAGAAAATACTAAATGCACTATGTGTAAATATCTCCAACACTTTCGAAATACTGATAATTTTCTGTATTAACACAGGAAAATTACTCTATATGCTATTTTCACTCATTTTTGATTGATTTGGTATATGTATCAACCCCGGATTTTGAGAAATACTCGAAATGGTATGTATACTACGCTCGGCACCAAAGGGTTAAGGGACTATCCATGGGAAAATCGAGCATGTTACAAAGACACCGTACTATAGAACATGTTGACCTCTACTTTTTACTATATGTAACAAAAGAGCATGGTTGAAAACTGAGAGATACAAATTTTCAGCCTCTTCTATTGTGTTCGTCAATAGTTATGAAGAAAACACGGGACATGTCCCACGAGATGTTCTAAAAATAGCACTGAAAAAATGCATATTCAGTCCTTGGAACTCTTCAATGAATGATTACTTGTAATATATCAAGAGATAGAGCGAAGTCAGCTCTACAAAACAGCATATTCAATCTTTCATTTTGCTTTGACTATGAATAGTGAGCCTCGAAACACAAATATTAGGAACAACTATTTTTGCATTTTGTGACATGCGTTTTTTCTGCAGCTTTTTTTGATAATTTCAATTTTTTTGTCACCAAAACTGCATTGGTCCAGAAGTTTGACAACGTTTTCGGATAGAGTAAATCATGAGCTACAAAATGAGCACAAAATATTGGGTTTAAAAATGCCAACTGATAGTCATTTTTAAATTGCAAGATGACCGACGAACTCTAAAAAAAATGGAGTCTCATCATTTCCGTTCATTTTTCTTGTGGTATCTCGCTCTATTTTCACTTCTATTCCATTCAAAACTTAATTCTGACACTAGACTCGTGTTCAGCGTTGAAAATTGCATCAGATAAGTGTTTCCATAATTTTATCCGACGAGTTTCGACATTGGTATATGTGCCAATATAACTCATATGTCTTTGCTTTGAAGGTCAAGCTCATGAGCTGCGAAGAACTGCGATTTTCTAAAGTAAAATTCGCAGTTTTGTAGGACCTTTTAAGGGATATATGATATTCTATGTTATTTGTTCATATTGACTGACTTCACCTGTCGAACA